CAGGGTGTCGTTCCTGTATAATCCCTAGTGTCTTAGTAGGAACTGTAAGAAGTAGTAGCAAGGGAGAGAGAAAAGTGGACTCACCACCATAAAAGCAACCTAAGAAGAAATGTTTCATCCCATCTGTCTCATCTCATCTCAACTACATTCCCAATTATATCCAGTTTCCACTCTCTCTTTTCACTAAGTGGTAGGAAAAAGTTGGGCCTACAAATGTGCTCAGAAACAATTTTACTGTCGCTTGTGTCCCGATTTCTCTAGCACCTCTATCCAATTGTGACAATAATGAATGTGGCTAGGAGCTCCAGGTCTTATTATAACAAGTTTTACATGGAATCATCTGTGTGACAAATATTATATTCTCATTTCAGAAATTCTCTATTTTAAGAGGTTTACAGTTAAAGGTTTACCCACAAGTCTAAATCAGGATTTGTAAATTAAAAAATAAGTCACACGAAGAGGCACTATATTGAAGATGTAAGATATAGGGAATTCTATTGTATCCTGGGTACCAATAATATGGTTATAACGATATAAAAGCCTCAATCATCAGTTATAAGTAACTAGCTAGGTTAAAATAAATCTGTGTATAATAGAAACATATAACTCAACACATTTAACTACAAGGTCATAAGGGAAGAAGAAATTAATGGAAGATATTTCAGATGTCCTCCATGTCAAGGATTGTGCTTGAGAGAAAAGTAGACAAGAGTTCCTTGGGTCATTTGACCAGCAACAAAGTCAATGAACTTTCCTGTACATGACTTTGGAAGTAGAAACAGAGTGGGGAGTAAGAGTGGGTCTGCTTCCTGAAATTAAATATGGAAAGTGTACCTCAGTTGTTGTTCAATTCACTTGAGAGACATTTTCAGAAGAAGGCAAGTGACACAAAAGTAATGAAGTCTTCTGAGCCATATAGCTTCTTATGAAAGTTAGAGGAATCCACCATTCCTGTGGATCTTGGACTTACACAAAATTTCAGTGACTCCATCACCTAGAAATATTCTTCTATGAGTGAAGTTAAGAAAGAGATTGGATAAAAAGAGGTAGTATACAGAGAAGGTGAAGAAGAATGAAACAAATTTTGTCAGAAAAAAGTTGTGAAAGTCTACCATGATCTAAAACTATTCCTTTCTTGCCATATTGACATGTCTTCGACAGTGACATTGAAAAGATTTATGAAGGCGGACTTCCTCCAACATCTTAAGACTCCCAAGATTCCTGGTGACAAGCATTGTGTATTAAATAAGCCAGGAATAATGCTGGCCAGAAGGCTAATGTGAATGGCAGGGCAGTGAATTGTGAGTATTTTCTTACCAAATGTCCAGAGTGCCTATCATATTGTACTCAGTGATATCACATATCAATGTGAGTCTATGTGGATGGAGCTCCCTAGAGTTGTGCAGTGCACAACCTATGCAACTGTATATGACTACTGAAACTGTATAAAAAGCTGAAGAAAACAGAAACCGAAATAAATCTCATGTCTAGGTAGTAATCTGACTATATTAGTGAGCCAAGCACAGGCATTGGGTAACCTTCCTTCTATAAGAAAACGTGTTCTTAGACTGAGAAACTTAACATGTAAATAGTATATACAATGGATTTGAAATCTCAAGGTGAGATTTTCAAACAGATTTGTCTCAGTTCAAATGTTCCACGCACTTCTGACCCCAAACAGCTCTCTTTTCAAGCACGAGTGGCAGGACTAATGAAATTAGAATGCCTTATGCTCAAATGGCATTAAACACAACTGTCCAGGATACTAGGAGATGTTTGCATGGTTGCTGGAAGAAAAAACTGTTTATGGACACATAGAACTAACTTCAGTAGAGGCAGTGCTAGTATAAGCTGAAAAACAGGACAATGGTCAAAGCTAGAAAGTGAAAACTGGGCCAGGGCTGGTGGGAGGGCAACCTAGGGACAGAACTGGCATCAATATCCATTCTGGAAAATGGGTGATCAGAAGAAGGAGGGAGGGTGGGGAGAAGAATATGCTCGTGGACATAGTACTGAGGAAGACAATGACAATTTCTTACAACAAATGAAACATTTTTTTATCTCAAAAAGCAAGAAAATCCTATTCAAACACCAGTGTTCTAAACCACTAAATCTTGAATATGTTTTGACACTAAATTTTAATTTCAACAAGAACATTAATGTGAAGAATATACTTCTTCTTAGATGTTCTCTTGAGAAAAAGTTGGGGAAAAAAAGAAAACTATAACCAATATTACATACCCCATTATCTCTGAGCACCCTGTCACATCTATGCCAAAACTTCTGTTTAACTATAGGCAACCCTTTCCTTCAGACCTGAAATCATTGAACTTAGCTGAGGGTTGGGTGGCTATAAGCTCAGTATATGTAGGTAGCTTTACATTTTAAAAGAAATGCTGATATATAAGAAAGAAATTACAAATAGTATTAAGCATATAAGGCTGCATTTTCCATGTGGAAGGACCTGTTTTCTGTCATATGCAAATTCAGCTGCTCTCCCTCTGTTGTCCCATCAAACAAATTTATATGTTAACAGTAAATTCAAAACATTAAAAACTTCACAGTGCTCAGGATACCTAAGGAATATTACTTATTTCCCACAATTCAGAATCTCCTCTCTTGTACCATCAAATCAATTGATGTTTTACAAGTAAAACAGAAACATTTTAAAACTCCAGGAGCCCAGCACATCTGAAGGATTTCTAAGTTTTGTGGACTTATAAAAAAAAAAGCTCTACTGTCTGGGAAGTCTTATTTGCTTCAACCAACCCAGGCTTTTACTCTTGTTACCTATGCTCAAAATCGGATTCCCTTTCCCCTACAATCTGGCCTAAAGATCCAACATCAGGGCTGGTGGCAGTGAAGTGGAACTGGAGACTGTGATTTGTCCCATGTACATTTGGAATTTGAAAAGTCAAGAAAGGTGTGCATTGCTAGACAAGGGGACTGTCTACCCCTAACTCAGTATTGTTCAACCCTTTTTTCATTATCAAACCTCCACCTATGCCAACCAAGAGACTCTCTAGACATTTTTTCTTCTATGAAATTTTAATACAAATATACTGTATATATGTTTATGTACCGTATGTATATCTGTGCTTTATATATCAAAAAAGTAAAATGTTTTCACTCCTTATGAACCAATTTCCCCCTGTTGGGGGCGCTATCACCTCTGTTGAAAATGCATGTGCTAAACAACAGCTATAAAAACTCAAGCCCACATTTGATTATTCATGGCCAGAAATTCCTAAATCAATAATGTCAAAACAATTATATCCGAATCATTTTCAAAATAATAGTTTGTACCCCCATAATATTTTTAAAAACAATAATAAATATATATATATATATATAACCTATAAAATACATAAAATTGGGCAAAATATTGTTCTGGCTGTGAGTAACATTCCAGTTAATTTTTCTGCATTACTCTCAATTCGTTGGGCTCCACTTGATGTTTGCTCATAGAACCAAGAATTCAATAACTGGGTTTGATTACTGTTGAATTTTACACACGTTTCAATAAGCAAAAAACCAAACAACCTTGAAGAAAACATTTTTCTGGATGGTAGCAATTTGTAATTTGCAAAACCAGACAGAAAATGTCCACAGATAGCATGTACTTTTCAATTTACAGAAGAAATAAACTAACTTTTGCTGCTCACAAAAAGACCTGAAATTAAATGGCCCACAAAGTTATCTGTGTCATAAAAACAAACCAGTGCTTCATTTAAAAACCACTGTGCCATCTGCATATACAACTGAGAAGAAACTTCTCCACATCTGAAAAGATTCCAGAATGGTCAAGTTCTATTACAACTCCAAAAAAAAAAAAAAAAAAAAAAAAAAAACAAAACCAAAAACCAAAAAAATCCATAGCATTTTCAGATACTTATGACCAGAAGCTTAGTAAGACTAAAAACCAGAAAAGTCACTAACAAGTGCAAGATATATCCTGTCCATTATTAGGAGTATTCTGCATTTTTATATTGATTAAAAAAATAGGGCAAAGAAAGTCGTCTGTATAAACCAATAAATACTTTTCATCACATTAATAATTGAGCTCACCTACCTTCACTGGTCCATGTTCATTACTGGAGCCCTGCACCAGTTGCACATAAAACATCATGAAAATATTCACCACTGCCCACTCTCTGTACATTTTGAATATTTTAATATCCACTGATTACTAAGCAGTTGACATCAGGCAGCTAGAGAAAATGGTTTCAAAAGGCATTCTCCAGAAGGAAAGTCTGAAACCCCAAAACTTCACATGGAAAAACAAACAATCAGTTGTGATCAAAATCCAATGAAATGACTTCGGTTAGCCAAGGTAGGTTTTTTTGCACAATCTTGGTGGGGAGAGAGAGAGATGAAAAAAATTTAAAATGTTCTCATGCTCCAAAAATAATCAGGAGGTGGACATGTCTTCCACCTGAAATTAGAAAGCACTCTAAATTAATTTCATGTCCAGCAAATTAAAAAAAAAAAAAGATTCTCTCCACCCTACGCCTCAGGTTCTAGTTGCTTTGTAAGGAGGTGGCTGGAACCCAACTCTGGATTAAAACTTTTTTCACAACCTTCATGGAAGCTTGCAGAAGCATGTGTCTTAAATCTGACACAGATTTTGGCAGAAAATGCAGGGAAGTCTTGGCTGTAATCCTGTTGTGTCCCTACCAATAGCAGGGCAGTTTAAAACACTGACTCAAATGCTCAGGACTGCTGTTATTTTAAAGCAGATAACCTGTAACATGAAACCCCAGCACATAATCTTGACCCGTTGCATCTCAATAGGATTGCTTAGGAAAGGACGTCAGACGTTCACGCTGCTGCCAGTGACACAACAGAAAGCAATCAATATGCTTTAAAAAGAAAAAAAACCACACATGCACAAAATTAACAGAAACATCCACACGTACATGCAAAAAGGCAAGCATACACAAAATGATTTTTTTTAACAGAAGCTTTGTAACTTAAGTCAAAATGAAGAACATTGATTTTTACAGAAGCAATGATTAGGTTTATTTGCATGTGCCAAGAAATATCTTACGTGCATTGTTACAAAAACCATGTTATCACTTTAGTGTGGAATTCTTTAGAAGCACCAGGCTAAGTCAGCTTTAGAAACCGAATGCCTTGAATGGTTGGATGCCACAAATGGCAAAATTCTAGGAAGCGTGGAGACCTGCTCTTGTGCTCTTCGCTAGTTTCCAATCTTTGATTTCCAGGTTTTGGCTCTTTCAAAGCCATTTTTTGCATTTCTGAAATCAAGAATGGCCTGAGAAATCTCTTCGTTAGTGTTCATCACAAATGGACCTAGGGCAGAAAAAGACATTCAGAAAGTTCTGGGTGACAATATTTTCCTCTACCACTCAAAATGGTAAGTGTTTTTGTAGTTCTTAATTTGAAACAAAATCCAGGCATATTTGAACAGTAAAAGTCTATTTTCACAGCATTCAATCCCCAAGGACTGTAATACAAATTTCTTGAGTAGGATTGTGTAATGATTATAAATTACAACAACCAAACTTTAGATAAACAAATGCAACTGTATCTCACCCATCCATTGCAGGTTTTTCATCAGCAATGGCAATCTCTTCATTCAAAACAGTCTTAAAATTGGTTCTATTACAACCATTCTTGTAGTTATTTTTGACCTTAGCTGATGGCAAGAATTGAACCTATGTTATAAAAAGAATGGGCAAATCTCTGTCATAGTTCTGATGTCTAGGCAATATGAGGCTGTGTATGTATACGAGGGTCCTGAGTCATTTTTGAAAATTAACAGCACCTCATTGACAATAAACAGGAGATTGCAAAACTATGAAGTCAAGAAATCATCATTTTTGAGTTCTGTATGGGTTGGCAAACTTTTTCTGTAAAGGGCTAGCTTAGTATACGTTTTAGATTTTGTGGATCAAATAGTATCTATCTCAACTACATAACTCTTTCATTGAAGCACCAAAGCAGCCATTGACAATATAAAAGTGAACAGGCAAGGCTGTGTTCCAATAAAACTTTATTTACAAAAACATGCAGTGGGAAAATTTGTTTGGTCCATGGGCCCTGGTTTGCTGACCTACTTCCTGGGTCTGAACTCAGGTTTTGCTAAAAGTATACAAGAAGTCCTTCCCTAATCTACCAGGAGGCAATGTGTCTGTCTCTTCCTTTTTCTTCACACGCTGTACTTTCTCACTTCCATGATCTGTTAGATAAACAAGCCAGCTCTTATATGGCATTGGCAGCATCTTGAAAGCAGCTGACAGATTTGTTCATTCACTATGTTTCTTCTAGCAATCTGCAGAGGTTTCTTCCATTCCCTTTATGGGACTCCCTCCTCTGATGGGCTTTCTCTGAGAGAGACTGATTAACATAGGAATAACAGTCAAACTTAACCACTGTTAGCATATCAACCCAGATTTGCTAATCTCTCTAATTTAAAACTTGAAAAGGAAGACACAGGGTAACTGTCTTGGTGATGTTGAGGTCCCTCAGGGAGGTTGGGGGGAACAGAATGCCTGTAGGAAGGGAAAGTCTGACAGAAAGAATCTAAATGTATTCATTCATTCAATGGCTTATGCGTTAAGTATTTATTGAGTGTCTACTAAATGACAGACATTATGCTAGGAGCTAGAGACATAAAGATGAAAGACAAATGAATTACAGAATCCTTCCCAGAGGAGCTCAAATCTATCACACAGACAGATATGAAAACAAATAATTACAAAATAGTGTGATATACAGAAGGAAAACAGTATGTAAAACCTAAGGAATCAACACAGAAAGGGGAGGAGAAGGGATCCAGGAAAGGACTGGAGGGGATGATGTTCAAGCAGTCATATAAGGAGGAAAGGCATTTATTTTCAGGATCAGCATGCTGAAGGAATTGAGGATGGGGCACAGTGCTGGAGGGAGGGATTGCAGTGGGGGGAAAAGAATAGGGATATGATATGTATAATAGGAAGAAGCCAGACCCTTCCAAGCTTTGGATGCCATCTATAGGAAGAAGTTTGGATTTAATTCTGCAGGTGACCAGCAATCACTGAAGGGTTAAGTAGAGAGTAATGTGATCTGATTTATAGTTTTTAAAGAAGGTTTTGGCATCAGGGTAGAGAAGATATCTGGCCTGAGAGGCTGAGTTGGTGGTGGAATTGTTAAGGGTAACTGAGATACAGGATATAGGAAGCTGTGAGTAGAATAAGGAGTTCAGTTTTGGATATCTTGACCTGGAGATGCTGGAGACAATAACATAGCTTCCCAGCAGAGGTTTTTGGTACACTGATAGCACTATGGGTGTGGGGCTCCTGACACATTTCATTTGGAGATGGGGATTTGGACTATATTAGGTCGGAAAGAATAGTTGAACTTTCATATGTGTAACAAATAATAAATCCAGGAGGGTACCCTGGAGAAGCCAACTTTTTAAAGGACATGCAGGGGAAAGGGAAATGGAACTTGGAAAATGAGAGCAGGTACTGGGCTAAGGACTGAATTCCTGCACATCACAATTTTGCTATAGTTTGGGCTTGTGGAGCATTGCTCCCATGCCCCAACTATTTTTAGGCTTCCATTTTGACACTTTTCTGGGGTAATCTGCCATGTTTCCCAGTTTCTACTGTGCATATGAGTCACCTGGGAATCTTATTAAAATGCAGATTCTGATTCAGGAGGTCTGGAGTGAGGTCGGAGATTCTGCATTTCCGACGATCTCCCAAGTGATGCTGATACTGCTGGTCCATGGACCACACTTTGAGAAACAAGGCTCTGGTTTATGGGGAAACATTGGAATCTTGGAGCCCTCCAGAGCTGAACTGATGAAGCTCATCTCCTGAAATCCTCAAAGAGAGGAAGAAAATTGAATCTAAAAAGCATATGTTTTTTTAATTGATCAACTACAAGGGTTATGAACAAGAAAATTATTTGATAGTTATGAATAATCCCATAAATCCTCTTTCAAACTACAGTGTTCATCTCTTTTCTAATTAAACCTTTGAACTCCCTCTCCTGCATAAAATGATGTGAGTCTAATCTCTTGTTATGTAGAACCTTGGTATAGCAGAGAGAGCAAGGGATATGGGGGCAAGACATTGGGGTGCAAATCACAGCTCTACTACTAATAATCTCTTTCCATCAAGAGAAGCCACAGGGTTTAGTGAGGGGCAACTGGCATGGTGCGAGGTGCAAGGGTAGGGTAGTGAGAAATCAGACAGCCTGAGTGTGAATCCAGCTATGTGGCCTTGAGTAAGCCAATGAACCTCTGTACTTCTGCTTCCTCATCTGAAAAACGGGCATGAAAGTACCAATCTCATAGTGTTGAAGACTGAATGAATTAATATTAGGAAAGCACTTTGACCAGTGTCTAGTAAATAGTAAATTCTATGCAAGTATCTGTTAAGTACATAAATAAAATATCTGGATTTCATTTTCCTCATTTATAAAAGGGAGACGACTACATCATAGTTAAGGTTATTTTCTATGCCAACATTCTATAACATCCTGTACTTAATCTGTGGACACATAAGTAAAGACACATAATGACAAAAGGAGTAAGGGTCTTAGCTAATTCATGAGATGAGTACTGGTTCCCAAACAGCTGAGAGATGGATGTGGCTGTCTCTAAACATGCACAAGTAAAAGAAAAATTTAAATGTCTGGGTTTTTAAAAGTTAAACAAAACAAAACAAAATGCTTTGCTTCTCAGTAACTGAGATTTCAAGGGACTTATCTATTTTGTCTGATGAATCTGAATTTGTACGTGCGGGCACACCTAGTGTCCGTGTGTTCCAAGGGAAAGGACCGACATGATACAAGTGTCGGGTGGATTTGAGCAGTCCCACCCTTTGGGTCTGTCACCTAATTCAGGTGGACTCTTGTTTTCTATTATTGGTGCAGAGGAGACTGCCTAACTTAAAAGACTCCCATCTCACACGTTCTTTTCCCACCTAAATTTTAGTCACTGGGAATAAAGATTATGACCCTATTCAGTTTGTCTGTAGGATGCTTCCAGAACAAACTACCTGTATTTCTGTGCTATTTAGTCAAGATAAAAGGAAACAAGAACCATGGACCTCTGAAGTGGAAATGGGAAGCATGCAAAATGGATGTCAAATGCATCAGGCTAGCTGAGGTATAATTTAATGTTCCCCCTTAAGTTATTAATAGAACCAAAAAGAATAATATTTTTAAAACAATCAGTGTTCTTTAAATTTATGATCCACTGGGGTTTATCTGAAATCATTGTTTATACCTGGGAATTCATACCAGGCAACGTAATATAATAGAATTTTACTGCTTACTGAATTTAATAATTAGTGAGGTGGACATATGTTTTGTAGGCATTTATCTAAATAAGTTTGTTTCTAGGTGCTTTTAGATGTTCCTCATTTAATCAAACAACAATGATATGAAGAAGTCAAGACTCAAAGAGTTTATTTTTAAACTGCCCCCACCCAAGACTCGAAGAGTTGAAGTGATTATTATGGTGGGCACTTATGCCAGGATTTTCTTTCTCAAGTACAGTACTATTTCTACTATGCAACAGTTACTTTCATTCACTTTTTAAAGTAAACATAAAATGACTTAACTATTTTAGAAACTTTCAAAGAAATATTATTCCTAAGAGGTTATTTTTTACTAAAAATACAATAGACTACAAGGACAGTATTGAAATCATTGTTATTTTTGTACAGATACAAATGATATTCAAGTCCCTAAGAGAATGCAAAAAAATCTTTTTTCAAGTTGAAATTCCCTATAATATGATTCAAAAACAGCATTTCTGTTCTTCCCACAGTTCCAAGCTCAATGTCCTACACATTATAGGTACTTAAGAAATGTTGCTCTTTTCAAAAAGAGAGAGGAATAAACACCCTATGTATATTTTCCTCTCACAATGAAGAAATTAAACAAAATCTTCAGATTTGTCGATGGAGAGACAGGACAAAAATCCAGCTATTCTTCCCAATAACACTAACATATACACTACTTCCAAAAAAAAATCAACAAAGAGAATCATCGTTATTTTGGGCTTACCATGTTGGACAACTGGTTCTCTTAATGGCTCCCCAGCAATTAAGACAAAATGGCTTCTTTTGGGATCCTAAAGTTAACAAAGAAAGCATCAAACAATAAACAGGTTTACTTTTGAATGTCAAATTGGGAACAATTTGAAGTTGAAGTGCTAGCCAAATGGATGATGTTCCTAATTCTGAATATAAATTCCCAAAATATTTTCTGTGCAACTCAATATGGAAACATTTATTCCTTAAGCTGTTTAGTAGCAATTAGAACTCAAGAATAAGTCCAGGCCACCAAAATATTAACATTCTCCAATTAAAGAAGCAGAATTTAAGATTTTCTTTAACTGGAAACATCTTCATGACAAACTATCAAACTATGCAATTGAATTGGTTTACTAAAGGGTTTATGATTTCTCACTAACAATATAATCTTTTAGATGAAAGATTACTCTGCAAATCCAAAAAGAGGATTTTATTAACTTTTTTTTTTTTTTTTTTTTTTTAGAGCCAAAGTCTTGCTTTGTTGCCCAGGTTGGAGTACAGTGGCATGATCTTAGTAAACTACAACTTCGAATTCCTGGGTTGAAGCAATCTTCCTGCCTCAGCTTGCCAGTACATGAATGTGCCACCATACCCAGCTAATTTTTTATTTATTTATTTTTATTTGTAAACATGGGGTCTTGCTGTGCTGCCCAGGCTGGTCTTGAACTTCAGGCTTTCCATGATCCTCCCACCTTGGCCTCCCAAAATGCTGGGTTACAGGCATGAGTCACCATACCTGGCCAAGATTTTATTACTTTTAACATTTATTACTATTGATGTAAAACATGCCCCAGAAATGTTGTACAAAATGGGATCTTATAAAAGAGAAATCAAAGAACATCTGCTCAGGTAAATTTCCCTCCAAAAAGGAGGGAAGTCTTTAAAGCCTTTAAAGTCTCTGAAAGTTTTTGTTTAGATTTAAGGATTAGATTTTTGTTTCTTGAAACTGGAAAAAAACATTTATCATAATATCCAGTGCTAGTGTGGATACAGGGAAAGATACACTTTCATATATTGCTTGGGATATTTAAATTGGTGCAGTAATCCCTTCAGAGAACAACGTGACAATATGACTCAAAACCCCCCATGTTGTTGATGTCCTCTGATTCAGTAATACTAGTTTTAGGAATATAGTGTAAGGGGATAATCGGTTTCACAGTTTCTTCATTGTTGCACTATTTATCACAGCAAAAATTGGAAACAGTTTTCCAGAAATGAGGGGTTGGTTAAATAATTATTCTACGTTTATAAGATGAAATATCCTATGGCCATTAAAATTCATTTTCTCGACAAATATTTAAGTGCACAATAAAATTTTCTGAATGTATTGTAAGTTTTTAAATGTCATAAAGTGATATATATAGTATGGTTTTCACTTTTAGGAAAATAAAGAAATCATATATTGGGAAGTTAGGGAAGAAACATACCACAATGTTAGCATTGGTTATTTCTTCAAAGCAAATTTTATTTTCTTCTTTCTGCTTTTCTGCTGCATTTTTTTAACTTTGCTACAATAAATGTGCTAATGTTAAAAGTTAAAAAGAAACATGAAATATATCTATTTTAAAGTTGCTGTTTGGGGAATTGTTTTATAAACAAATATATTTCAGATTTAACAATCATTAGATCATTTCATTATATAAATTACTTAAATATTTTAAGTAATTAACATGTTATAACTGTGAGAGTCCTATCTTTATCAAAATTATACATATATCATATATATGAACTTTTCAATATATTTACTTATTAAGAATTGGTGCTCTGATTTGGAATTAAGGAGAACTGTAGTTCTGTCAGAGGTGAATTACATACACACTTACATATACTTACATGTGGTACTTTGTGCTCTGGCAACTTAGTTAAGCTGGGACAATGTGGTGGTTAGTTGCGGTGACAGACAGAGTTAGAGGTGCTGGTAGGCTCTAGCTTGTCCTCAACGTCCTCCATGCCATATCCAGCTCTTCGTCCTGGCTATTGACTCTACTGATCAAAAGCAGCCCCAGGCCCACCCCCAGACACTTGGCGGCAGAACTATAGGAGTGTCCACTAGACTTTCCCATCCATTTCCCTTTTGTGGCCTCATGTCAGTGACTAGATGTGCTTGGCATTCCAGATTACATGGCTGGTGGCTTCTCTGATTCCCCAACTTCTGCTTTTATATCTTTGTTTCCACAGCTCCTCCCACACGCAAATGCTCCCTCTTTGGGAATCTGTCCTGTGACTGCCATCTTGGGAGGAATCCCAAGCTAGCCAAGTGGAGAAGCCACCTAAAGCAGAACTGAGGCACCCCCAGGCAACAGCCTCAGCTGAGCCCAGCCCCCAGCCTGCTAGCCACATGAATGACCCCAGAGAAACCAGCAGAAGAACCCCCACTGCACTTGTGAGAAATAATAAATCACTGTTGCTTTAAGCCACTAAATTTTGGGTGGTTTGTTACTCACTAATAGATAACTAAACATTATGTATCCTTTTTTTGTTTTTTTGAGACAGAGTCTCGATTTGTTGCCCGGGCTAGAGTGAGTGTCATGGCGTCAGCCTAGCTCACAGCAACCTCAAACTCCTGGACTCAAGCAATCCTACTGCCTCAGTCTCCCAAGTAGCTGGGACTACAGGCATGCGTCACCATGCCCGGTCCATTTTTTCTATATATATTAGTTGGCCAATTAATTTCTTTCTAGTTATAGTAGAGACGGGGTCTCACTCTTGCTCAGGCTGGTTTCAAACTCCTGACCTCAAGCAATCCACCCATCTCGGCCTCCCAGAGTGCTAGGATTACAGGCATGAGCCACCACGCCTGGCCCTCATTATATATTTTTTGAGGCTTCTCTTAGGTGTTTATTTAATTTAGAGTAAAACAATAAACAAAGCCAAAATGATTATGTACTTTAAAACAAAGCCCTCAAAAAAAAATTTAAAATTTCACCTATATCCTAATAGCATATTTCTAAATATATGGTAAGATAATATATTTATTATATCATATATTTATATACTTCTACTGATACAAAGCTCTTTAATTAAAAATCATTATAATGCTATTAACCCCAGGTTTGCTTCTAGAATTATTATGGTTTCAGCTCATTAAGTCCTTAATCCATCTTGAGTTAATTTTTGTATAAGGTGAGGATATAGGGATCCAGTCTCATTCTTCCACATGTGGCTATCCAATTTTCCCAGCACCATTTATAGAATAGGGTTTCCTGTTCCCAGTGTATGTTTTTGTCTGCTTTGTCTAAAATCAGTTGGTTGTGTGTATTTGGCTTTATTTCTGGGTTCTCTATTCTGTTCCATTGATCTATGTGTCTACTTTTATACTAGTAGTACCATATTGTTTTGGTTACTATCGCCTTATAGTATAATTTTAAGTCAGGTAATGTGATGCCTCCACATTTCTTTTTGTTTAAGATTGTTTTGACTATTTGGGCTCCTTTTTGGTTTCATATAAATTTTAGGATTTTTTTTTCTCATTCTGTGGAAAATGTCATTGATATTTTAATAGGGATTGCACTGAATCTGCAGATCACTTTGAGCAGTATAGTCATTTTCACAATATTGATTCTTCCAATCCATGAGCATGGGATGTTTTTCCATTTATTTGTGTCATCTATGATTTCTTCCAGCAGTATTTTGTAATTCTCCTTGTAGAGATCTTTCACTTCCTTGGTTAAGTATATTCCAAGGTATTTTATTTATTTATTTATTTATTTGCAGCTATTATAAATGGGATTGAGTTCTTGATTTGACTCTCAGCTTGGCTATTACTGGTGCATAGCAGTGCTACTGATTTGTGTATATTGATTTTGTAACTTAGACTTTACTGAATTCATTTATAAAATCTGAGAGTCTCTTGGAGGACTCATTAGGGTTTTCTGGGTATAAGATGATATCATTGGCAAACAGATAGTTTGACTTCCTCTTTTCCAATTTGGATGCCCTTTATTTCTTTCTCTTGTCTGATTGTTCTGGCTAGGATTTCCAGTACTATGTTGAATAGAAGTGGTGAAAGTGAGCATCATTGTCTTGTTTCAGTTCTTAGGAGGAATGCTTTCAACTTTTCCACGTAAAGCATGGTGTTGGCTGTGGATTTGTCGTGCATGGCTTTTATTAATTTGAGGTATGTTCCTTCTATGCCTAGTTGGTTCAGGGTTTTTTAATCATGAAGATGGGCTGGATGTGAATGAATGCTTTTTCTACAACTATTGAGATGATCATAAGGTTTTGTTTTTAATTCCGTTTATATGATAAATCACATTTATTGACTTGTGTATGGTGAACCATTTTCGCATCTCTGGGATAAAAACCACCTGACTGTGATGAATTATCCCAGAAGATTTATCACTGGATCCAACAAAAATTAATAATTCCTTAATCTTCCATGTATTTAATAAAAACTGCCATATTTTATAGAAATGAAATTTGTTTCTCCTCCTGCTTTCAACTTAAAAACAATTAAATGGGAATGTAGGGTAGAATGGTTTCTTCAAAAGTCTTAATTAACTCCCTAAAATCCCAGGGCTGGGGTCATTTAATACATCCACTCAGCTGATGTTTTAATTATTTCATCACATTTAAAAAATATCTCTGCAAACCATTCCCAGGCCTATATTTATTCATGTATCATCACCTTACCTACTTCTAACCCAACTAGATGTCAAAATATACAAATGTAAACCTAGCTAAAAATCAAAGAGTAACCCTAACAAATGTTCTCCTAATTCAAATTTTAAATATAGATGTCATAAAGCCCACATGCTGAAAATTACTGCCTCACTTTAGCACAGAGCCTCATTCAATCCCTGCTTACTCTTGCTTTATACACAATTCTAACAATTAGGCTTCATGGTGATCAAATCTGTTAAGAGATTCAAAGCTAGAAGACAGGAAAGTACCACCATGTAACAATACAAGAAAACTGACAGCTTAATATCAATGAAGGAAATGAAAAGAAACCTATGGGGAAAAAAAGGCACAAGAGCTTAAAAATAAGTATAGGACCACTTAGTACAGGAACAAGCAAGACCTGAAGATACTGCCATACTTTATAGCTCAGGAAAATAATATGCATGCTGATGGCCCCAAATTATGAACAAGTTAATATATATAATATAATCTAAGCCCACAGGAAAGGGAAAGGTTTCTATCTGAAATGATTTCTTTTTTAAATATGATATTTAAGTGACTAAAAATTTGAACAAAACCCCCCCTTAGTTATCAAAAAGATTTATTCCCTAAAGGTTTTGGAGTGGTGAAATTTTAGTGTGAAACAAGAGATATGTGAAAAAAAAAATCTTAGAAAAATACTTTTGATCATTGGTACTATATTATTTATAAGTTGATCTGAACGAGGATGTAACTTAGTATTTTGAAGTGTTGGGTTATTTTGCAAGGGGAGACATACTTGAGTTTTAGGGTCAGGAAATAGAGGAGAAAGGGTTAGAGGTTAAGAAAGAAGAAGAGAGGACAGGCCAACCTCCTTATGTCATGTCTGTGCTGACCCTTCAGAATGTAAGTTTCTTAATTCAAAAGATACCTCTTTCATGAGTGATGAGCATACCCAACAGTTTACACATTTTGGAATGACAAAGGTTTAAAAATAAAAGTTTTGCTCTTTTTGATAGTACTCAAATAATATGATAACTTTCCAATTATTACCCAGACAGTAGAATAAAAGGACATGTACATTTTGTCTGAAATGAGAAATTATTAAACTGCTTGGAGTTAAGGAGTTTGGTTTTCCATCATTCCTAGAATTTGAAGAATGGTCCAAGCCTCTTTTAATGTCTTTTCCACAAATTTAATATCTGAGTGGCCCCTTCTCTAATCTAAACCAGATCTGTTTTGTGTCTTTTTCTTGTTTCTTAAATGTGTCATTTTTTTCTTTCCTTAACTAGCCTTCTTTGGTGAAATCTTATAATCTTTGTAGATATTCAGTAGAGTGCTGATGTAGTTAAATGTGCCAGTTGCAATTATCTTGAAAAGTCCTTGTCTATGGTTTCAAATTATGAACATCATGTAAAAGCAAAAAGAATAAAAGACCTGTTTAAAACCTGAGTCCTTGTGTTGCCCTGAGTCAATGCCTTTATGGGGTTTGATTTAAAAAACCCATACAAAGGTAACGGGTCCACTTGCTGCTTCTTGTATAATTACCCCAACTAAAATTCATGATCTCTTGGGGCCCAGACAATGAATTTTACTTAAGTGTACCTTCTCAGAGTTCCTGGTACAGAGTTAGGCCCTTCTGGGTTTGCTTAATAATTTACTTTTAAAAATTGTTATTCCATAAGTATTATTGCCAAGATGTCTTGAGTTCTACTGATACCAACAATAAATGATCAAAGCCCAGATGAAAGTTCTATGATTTAGTTAATGTATTGATAACTTCTAAATTATAAGTATCTACTCAGTTTATTTGACAGATTATGTATGCGAAGCTTAAAATGACAGTAGGACTCTGAGAATGAATCTCAGGACATGTTTTTGTTTCGATAACATTTATTATAGCGATTTATTGCCTGAAAAAAGTACCCAAAAGAAACTGAGCTTTAGTATGACTTATTGCATGCAATTGTTCTTATTAGACTTCATTGTTTATATTTCTTGGGCCAATGGAAAGATAAAACAACTGTTGTTAGTTGTTTTATTGGTCTATTTTATTGTTTTATTGTTATTGCTATTATTTTTATTGTTATTGCTATTATTTTATTGTTTTATTGGTCTAAATTATTGGTCTATTTTATCGTGAACTTTTACATATAAATAAATAAAAAAGTTATCTCTAGCTTTACTAGGGTATTTTGTTTTATTTCTCTTTCAGTGTTATTTTAATCAAATGTTATATTTAATCAAATGTTAATCTTTATTAGTTTAATGAGTTCCCCATGGATGGTGCCAGTTAAAGGGCATTATTACTCTGAAGTATGATTTTTGATGACAGCCAATGAGGCACTCATTGTCTACCTTAGTACTCTACAGCTGAGTTTGCTAATTCATGAGGCTTAAGACCTTTTCAATAGGACACTAGTATAAATATGAGTCTAAAAGTGGGATGGAGCCTTTCATATTAAACTCATGTACTTCTGTTCATGAAGCCATCAGGGCAACCACCATTCAGGAGAAAGTCCAGAGCAGGGGTCCTCAAACTTTATAAACAGGGGGGCAGTTCACTGTCCCCCAGACCGTTGGATGGCCGTTGGAGAGTGCAGTGCACATTCCACACATGCGCACTGTGGACCCGGGACGAGTCGGCTGCTAAGCAGGACAGGCAGCGGCGGCAAAAATACCCGGTGGGCCGGATAAATGTCCTCGGCGCGCCTCATGTTTGAGGACACCTGGTCCAGAGTATCAACTGTGGGCCAAGGCAACACAGGGTGCCTTAACCCTTGAAACAGAAACTCTTCCAGGGTGACTGCTACCAGTCTAGGGTTAAATATCCAGAGTAGTATGGGGTTGATTCCAATCTCTACGAACTGGAAAATTTAAGTCCATTTTGAAGTCATTGTTGTAGTTTGGGCTTCTTCCAAGAAGTTGAAGGGTATGGCATATAGACTCTTAAAGCTAGCTTATACCAAGCACCTTGCTAAGATGAAGCAGGGAAACCTGGAGCAGAGCCAAGGTGTCATCTTCTATGTCATCCCTTCTTTGCCCTCCTATCTTGCCCTGAGATTAGCCACTCTAGAAGAAACTGCCCATAGTGCTTGTCAACCAGGATGATGGGTGTGATGGTGGAGGACACAGAAATGAAGGATCAGTGAAAGTGCAGGAAGAAGAGATTCCAGATGGAAGCAAGGGAATACATCAGCTTCTTATTCTTGACTACAACTTTGGGCAAATGGGATTAGAGGCAGCCTTAGGAAGTCACATCTCTCTTCTGTGTTGAATCCTCAGGCTAATGCTAGCTCGAAATGAGGATAATCCCGGCTTGGAGCCCAAGTGAGTCAGGGTCCCTTAGGGCCTTTGGGCCTCAATTATGAATCCTTATTCGGTAACATGTATATGGTATGATCACCTGTTAAATTAGGTATTTGGATCAGTAAACTTTCCAGCTACCATTACTGGGCCCCTACAATGTACTAAACCAGGGATAGACAAACTTTTTCTGTAAAGGACTCTCTAGTAAACTCTCTAGTTTTAGGCTTTGTGGGTCATTCAGTCTGTCACAACTACTCAATGCCACTGTTCTCTCTTCCTGGGGGAAGAAATTATACCACAAGCTTATCATCCTCTTTCATTAATTTCTATTTCTGTTGGTTTGTTTTAAAATTTTGTCTACATTGATTCCTCATCTCCAAGAATTATCTAAAGTCTCTATTGTTTACTCCTAGAAATTTGAATCTGGAGGCAACACGTAATTGTTGTCCCTTCATTTTCTTTCTTTATATAATTGTTCTATTGTTTTTACCATAAGTGAAAATGGATCAGCTCTCTAGAAGTTTAAATGTAGACATGCATTCATACCCAGAACCATTGGAAAATAATCTCCATTTTGACTTGAGTTGAACTGAGAGGCGCATGTGATGCATTTCATAGTCCTTTTGTGATAAATCCCTGCTTTTAAAGTAAAGTTTCTGATATTTTAGGAAGTTTTTTCCCCCAGATTTCTAAAGTTCTTTCTCATGCTTATTTCATTCCCTTGGGTAATTCATTCACCATCTTGTGAGTCTGTTAAGTCCATCTGACTGCTTTGTGTCATTCTAATAAAGAGAATGGAGGAGACAATTGTGTGAAAGCTCCTGAAAAGATGAATTTTGAAAAGTAAGGGTGAGAACTAATTCAGAGGGCAGGTGACTAGCGGAGAGGCAGTCTGCCTGACTTCTGGCCCTCTGACCCTGGTCTTATAGAATGCAGTAGACTTAAGGGATTATTAGATCTTAGCCTGCTTTTCTGGCAGTTCACCTACTGCTACTTTAATCATCTGCAGCACCACCATGGACTATGAAGTAAACAAAAGAAAAATATCATGAGCACCAGAAAAAATGCATATCTCAGGGTCTATGCCCTCTAATAATAGACTGAACCATATGAAACTGCCATGTTTGACCTATAAAAATGACAACTTTATATATTTCAACCCAATACAGGAAAGGGGCACAAAAGCTACATACAGGCCAGAACCTACTGTTATCAGAGTCATTCTTTAGAACATTATCTGGTTTAACCTGGCAACCTCGGTTCTTCCTCTAATATAGCAGAGAGCACATTGCAGATAATAAGGATTTGAAAGCTGAAACGGAACACCAGTAAGAAGCAATGAGGGGAGTCAGAAGGGCCAGGGAAGCCAGGATAGAAAAAAGTCAGCTGAAACCATCAATTTATTGGCTAGTAGCGCTCCTGGCTCCAGGGGCATCATTCTATTATGTGCAATTCTATAATTGTTGCTGCGGATAAGCATAGCCTGAGCCATCAAAGCCTTTGGAAGATTTCTATGAACAAAATTGTTATTTAAAAAAGTGAGCATTTAAAGGGGCATGTGCTGCTTATACCCACAGGATAGAAGAAAGTATAAGTTAAGAAAATTGAAGGAAAATAAAACACTTACCTTGTTCTCCACCTGAACACTGTCACCTTCTCCGAGCACTGCTGTGTGATGAGGTTCTATTTTCTGTTGTGCATCATCAGGCCCTACCAAGATGACAACCCACTAACTTTAGTACACATTACAGTACATTTATCATATGGTTACATACTTGGTAAACTGTGTAGCAACATAATATTAATTTCAATTCCAAAAATAACAGAGAGGAATTTTCTTAAATCTCTTGGTTGATTATATTAGATTATATTATTAAAGTCTGAAACTGATTAGTTTTCAATTTGGAAAAGAACAGGAAAGTGAATTCTGCATCGTGACCTCATTTACTTTTAATGTCATGCTCAAATAGTTCAATTGATAAGCAAAGTCTTTGGCATTACGTGCACATAAGAGTGTTTCCTTTGGTAAATTATAAACCTTGTAAGAAATAAGCACACTTAGAAAAATTATCAAATGTCATCATTAATTCATTTCAACAAGTATTAATTGAGCACCTACAATTGCCTAGTGCTATTAGGGAAATATAAAGATGTGCAAAGCAGATTCCTTGCCTACAAATAATTCACAATCTCATTGGGGCAAACTACATATATAGAAACAAAATAATCAGAGAATAGTTTAATTGAAAAATAAGTAAGTTGAATAGCTATTGAACTATGAATAAGACCCTGTTCTAAATGTTGTGGGGGTCTTCAGGATAGAGAAGTTTCCATTCCTTCTAAATTGAGGCTCAAAGATAAAGCAATACAAATGAAATTGTCTCATAAGGGCAACAATAAATTAATAAGCAAAGTTCAGTAAGAGAACAGGGTTGGTAGGGGCTCATTCAGGTCTAGGGAATTTGCTGTGGAGGAGGTAATATTTGAACAGAGCTCTGCAGGATTAAAGGCAAACCTGGGAAGAAAGGCCTTCTAGACAAGAGGACAGACAGATCATGCAAGGGTAATGTGTGGGCATTTCTGGGGAAACAGTGAACCTTCCTGGAACATTCTTCTGGGATCAAGGAAAACTCTGAAAGCCATGTTTATCCATATAAAATTGAAAGCCCTTGAAGAAGATGTATGTGTGTGTGTGTGTGTGTGTGTGTGTGTGTTTATGAAAAAGGTCAGATATGTATCTTGAAGGAATAATTCTAGAAGAAGAGGATAGAATGAATTGGAGGGAGGGGCAAGACTGAAGTTAGGATGACCTGTTAGGAGTTTGCTATAATAGTCTAAGTGAAGATGAATTACAGTCTGAACTGGGAGAGTAGAAATAGAAAGAGATGGATTTGAGAGGTGGAGTTGAGAAAGAATCTAAAGGATTTGGCAACAGTGGGAGAGAGAGGAGTCTAACATGATTCTCACTAGGCGTAGAAGAAGATTCTCAGTGGTTCTGCAAGAAAGGAGATGCCTAAGTGGGCCAGAATAGCCACAGAAGGCTATAGAGGAGGGATGAGATTTGGGCTGGTCTTTCAGTTGGGTAAAAAAGTGTGATTGGGGAACAGAGAGAAAATTCCAAATTAGGTGAGCAACTCATAAAGATGTCTAGAGGGATACACCTGTGTGCCATTTTGAGCTATAAATAAGGGTATTCACCTGACATGTTGGAGCTAAAGCTGAATAATCAACAAGGAAGTGCTTATTTAAATGAAACAATAGTTCGAGCAATTATTATGTAAACAGAAACATAATTCATGAATTTAGGGGATAGTGGTTGGAGTCCAAACATCGTTATATTTTCTAGAGAAGTCCTCCTTCTCACCACCACTTGGAGATAACCAATCTGACACAGCAGGGTTCATTCTGATTCTTGCAAACATGAAATATAATGGGATTCTGAGAGAGCAGGAGTTCTTAATGTGGTGTCAATGTGCTCCCAAGAGGTCTGTGGATAGCATCCAGGGCATGGGTGGACTTGGATGGGAAATAAATTACACATTTACTTTCACTACCACCTAGTTGACCTGTAGCTTTTCCTTCAGTCATGAATGTATCCAACAAACTACAGTAGTATTAACTGGATCAATGGCTTTATCTCCAGTAGAAATCATAGATATTTTCATATCATATCACAGTGATGTAGCTATCTCAAAATATAGCTTATGTTAATTATTACTTAGAATTTAAAATAGGCCTGTTGCCAGATCATGTTATTTCCAATGTCATTAGAGAAGCACACATACAGCTATAGCATAAAGTTGTTCTTTTTAACACGTTAATAACATCACTGAATTTAAAAACATTATAGGGGGGTGGAGAGGGCTTGGCAGATGTCAAAAGGGTTCATAGCACAAAAAAGATTAAGAACCTCTGTCCCAGAGGCAATAATGTGCTGCTTAATGATTGAAAATTGGCTTTCAGGGATGAGGAGAGAAAAAAAAATAGATTCGTAGTGTGTGCCAATTTCCATGGTGTAAATACTCCCACCGTGGCCAATTTCAAGCTACAAGAGCCAGCCCCAGCATAACACTAAAGGTTTCTCCTCCATCAACGATTTAGGTCAACGAATGTCATGGAAGTGAATGATAGGACTCCACTGGTTTCCCACTTATGCAGGGTTGTGGCAATAAAAGAGAGGACTGAGAGTTAAAGAAGAATCTCATTTAGAGTTGGGTAATATTTTTAGCTGTGATATGAAACAGCACTTTATTAAGTGTGCCTTACTGTGATCCTCTGGGGGCAATGAGCCATGTCGTTATCTTCAACTAATTCATGTATAACACCCATGACCCACATCATCCACTCTTGGCTCCTAGTTTTGTCATGTAGGATGTTTCATGATACATAGACCAAAACAGTTTATAAACTCCTTTAATGTGTTTTAATGGAGTGAGCTGACAAGAGACAGCACTCAAAAATAATGCTGAATTGGTATTACTATTTCTCTGTAGCCCCTATCAGGGGAGCTTGCTTGACTGTGGTGTTCATTGGTCTGTGAGGAAATCTTAATATAGAAACAAAGAGTTCAGCTTGTCCAAAGTGCCCTAATTCTGACTTTAATGGGAATGCAATTTCTGCCCATTCTCTTTGTAATCACAGTGTTGATACTGAAGAGGCCATCTGAAATGCTCCACCCTAAAGTAAACCTTTCCTATAGACACTGAGTCAGGGGTCCTGGTTAAAAATAACTATAAGTGTACCTTTAGCTTCTGTGTTATTATATGAAATGTTTAAAGCAGGGTCACAAAAAGCAAAGACTGATTCTATCTTTATTTCCAGGTCATTTCTATGATATTTCGCCCATCTGGTTATCTCTTAAACCTAAAATAAGTCTCAAAGAAAATATATCTTATTGTTTCTGACTACTTTCAATTATAAATAGAGCCAAATCAGATAATAAATAGTTTCCATTGGGAATCTTTGCCAAGAATGTTAAATCTAATAGTGCAGTTAAGGAAAATTTAACTGAAAACAATTTAATTGCAATTTTTATTTGCCTAAACAGTCATAAAAGGGCAAAATACTTTAAAACTTAAAGTCAGCGCTGCATCTTCAGTGTGTGATGAATCACTCTACAACTTTTTTGTTCATACCATCTTTCCTTTTTCCTTTTTTTCTCTTTATAAGAACTGCTGTCCCACTTACTCTGTTCCATACACTCTGGTACTTCTATCATAGATCTTGAAATCATCGACTTTATATGTATAGTTGAAGTCTTCTTACCTGATGCAATTGAGATTGTTAATTGAAAAAGACAATCAAACTGCCTCAAACATTTTATTTTAAATGAAAGCATAAATGTGCATTCATTTGTGAATTTTTCAAAATACAGTTAAGGTGGGTCTGCTGATTAGACTGAAGCACTGTCTTTCTTTTTAAAACATACCCATCATGCACCACCTCAATTCTTCTAGATTATTACAGATCCCCCTAATCATTTACTGTCATCTCTCCCATACTAATTCAAAAGCATTTTCCTTAGTGATTCGCTTTTACAAAACATTTGACTTAGTTGTTCTAGAAATACTAACTCTCTTTACACACCTATTTCATTAATTTACATATCATTTTATTAAATTACATTATTGCAATTATTGGTGCAACTGGCATAAAGAGATTGAGAACAAACACAGCTGCCTTGTCCACTATACCTCAACCGGTGGAAGGAGCAATGGGCAGGTAGACTAGGGAGGAAATGATCATCCTGTGTTCAGGCACCTCCTTCAAGGTATTTGTCACTACTGGCCAATCCAGTTAGTTGGGTAAGTGGAAGTCAATTAAGAGACTTTCTGGGATACACATGTGTTTTCCCCTCTTTATGGTAAGACCCAGAGATCCTGTCAAACTTCTTAATACCACCCAGAACCAGAGCAAAAGGATGAACACAAAGTAAGCATGAAAACTTATTAATATTTAAATAAATTTGAAATATTTTACTGCCTTCCTAAACCAGTTCATTTCAACAACCACATACGAATGTTTTTAGATTTCAGATTTCTAAATACATTTTCTAAGCACCACCAGTATACTTGATATTGGTCCTTCTAGGGGACTGGCAGTCCAAGCTGATAAACTATACCAAGTTTCAAGGATGCAGGGCATAAACTCTTTTATCCTTTTGATCTCTGCATTAATGTGTAAAGTAATTTTCACCACAGCCGCAGGGAAGAGATTCAGTATTAGTATCTGCAGAATCCATTGATTTTCTGACCATGTAGTTTTTATTTTCTTTTGATTTCTCTTTTTATCATATGCTGCACAAATTTCCAGCTGAGGACTTTTTGCCTCAGTAAAAATAATTATTGTCAAAGGTCTCTCTTTTTTTGCTGCACAATTTTGAAAGCTACTATTTGACAGTCACTTTAGAAGGCTCTTCATTGTTGAAAAAAGCAAATGTATCAAAAATTAACAAGATTCCTGAAGAGCATAAAATGAATACTTTCAGATGAATGGAAAGTGAATACTTTCTCTGAATAAGAAAGTGCTAACTCTACTTGTCTTATTTTAACTCTGTTAACTCTTTCTTTTCTTCAAGCTGTCTTAGAGGACAATTACATGGCTTCACCATACTTACTTTGAACTTTAAAATGTGTGACTAACTTTGACAACTAATTAGATGTCCAGCATTTCCTAATATTAAAAACTCCAACTGTTTATAATCAAACCAAATTTACCAATGTCCATCTTTTAAGCACTTCTTGCATCAATTAACTTTTTTAATTTTAGGACATTATGGGGGTACAAAATTTTGGTATCACAAGAATGGAAAAACATGCATCACATGTACTCACCATCAAATTGGTACTAACTGATCAACACTAAGGTGCTCACATGGTAGTAATATTCAATGGGTGCTGGTCAGGTGGGGGGGCTGGGGGTAAACTGAATTAACATTTTTAATAGTTCTCCTAAATTTCCACTTTATGCAGTCTCCCCAGATTATTTCTTCAACCCAAATTGCAGCCTATTTATTCGAGCCTGATACACTAAATATATATAACATCCACTTCAACTGAATGGAAGTGCTTAATATCTCGAAAAAGACAATTCTTTGCTTAACACTTCCTGCTGTGGGTGGCTGGCTGGTGCCATCTTAATTTTATAAGCAAGATAAAATTGAGGTAGTAAAGTCAAAGCATTTTCTGGATTCTCTCTATAGATTTTCTAAGTCAGTACATATTAAATAGCTATTTCTGTTTGTCATTTCTTTTCCTCTGGTGATATGGTCTTGCCCTTTTCCTTTGCTCATTAACAACTCTATTAAGGGGTGGAGAGGAACAAGGGAAGGAGATAAAATTCCAGGAAGGTAATTTCCCCAGAGACTCACTGGTTAAAGCAGAGTTCCAAGAAGCCAGTTTTGTGAGCTGGATTCTCTCCATGGTCCAGTTTATTCTGGACAGATGCAACTTTGCTCCAAGGCTACAGACCACAATGCTATCTCCTGCCACATGTGTTGCACTGTGGCCCATGGGCACGAGGGGGGACCAGGCCAGTGAGTAGAGATGACCCAGGAAAATCCTGTCTCACCTCTAGAAAAACAAGTGGATGTGTGAGTCATTCTTATCCTAAGAATTGTGGAGCTTTTCACTTGTTAACTTCTTGGACTAAAAGTCTGTCAGGACACAAGGCTGTAACTGCTGCATTGTTTGGTTTTGAAGATTATTTGTTATGTTTTCTTCCCTTCATCCTCTACAATGTCATTCAAAGCAAAATCAACTGTGAGCTTTTGTAGAACCCACAGGCCAAGAAAGGTTTTTGCTTTCTTAAACGGTTGAAAATAATTAAAAATAGTATTTCATGACACATGAAAACTACATGAAATTCACATTTGAGTGAATTCAGTGTCCATAAATAAAGTTTTATTGGAACAGCCACCCTATTTGTTTATGTGTTGTCTGTGGCTGCTTTTGTGCTACACTGGCAGGGCCAAGCAGTTGCAACTGAGATTACATGGCCTGCAAAGATGGAAATATTGGCTATCTGGCTCTTTCCAGAAAGTTTACTTCCCCCTGCTTTTTCTCATTCTGTACAAACATTTCTGTTATCCTTACCACCTCAAAATTCATGTGCTTTCTTTATTACTTTCCATTTGTGCAGATTATTTTGTTGCTCTCGAAATAATAAATCAGGTGCCCTACCACCATAAAAATGTTTTCTCTCTCTATTTTTATAAAGCACTACGTGATTCTCAGGGTTTTCAGAAGATCATAAAAACAAATGATACATCTCTTCCAGATGGTTAATATAGTTTAATATATGTGCACATGGACTTATGACACTACTACTAGATTTTTTTCATACTTTCTCAAGTGCTAAAATTAAATGAATTTTGCTTCTGACCCATAATTGAGATGTTATTCAGTGAAACAGGAACTAAAACCATTTATATTGTATTAGGAATACATTCAAAATCCATGAGTTTGCATTACCATTATTTTCCACAAGAATAATTTCAGGCAATTGAAAACGCTTTTTGGAAAATATAAGGAATAGTTTAAACAGCTCTGGGTGTGGCCTTCTAACCCTGAAGAGATGCTATCAGCAAGCCAGCTTTCTGGAGCTGGGAGTGTACTGCCCAAGGAGGTGGCCATGTTAGGGCCTCAAGAAGTTCAGTGCTGGCACCACTACAGGAGGAAATTGGGAGACTCCAACCCCAGAGGGCTCAGGAATGGGGCTTCTTGGCCTGTACTTTGTGATGTCCACCCCCATCCACACCACTTATGGCTGTGGGTGGCAATAAGGGGGATGGGTGGGAAGCTAGTTCTCTTACTTCGGGTTTTCCCAGAAGCACAGCTGGAGACATATTCTGATACAAGGAGTGTATTTGGGAGGTGATCCCAGAAAACAACACTCCATAAGTCAGGAGAGTTAGATGGAGATGGGAAGACAGACAATGAAGGGCCAGTCACTGAGCACACTCCCATGGTGGGCGACATGAGCATCATCCTACTGGGAAACTCTAGAAAAAGGCCTCCCGCACAGGCCCCAGAGTTACCCCACCTGAGGGGCCAGGAATGTTATTTCTCCAGCGCTCTCATCCTGCCCTGACTGGTTTCAGAGAAAGCCTTCAGGCAAAGCAGTTAGAAGTTGGTCAGTGGGCACCAAGGAGGTCAGGCCCCAGGGTGTGGATGGGGTACCAACAGCATCTGCTGCAGCTGTTTTCCTGCCAGCCCCACAGAGAGCCTCTTCCTGGAACCCAGGCTGCTTTTAGGAGGATGGGAAGGGTGGGAACAGATGCAGGCAGGAGCCAACCTGCTCCGCAAGGCCTTCTCTCCCACTCTTCTGTCCCTTAGCTCTCCTGCTGCCGGGTTGGCTAAGGGATGGAGACTCGAAAAGCCAAGTTAGATGGTGCAGTCCTTGCATTGTCACTGGACAACATGGGAAGCAGGACTGAAGAGCCCTTGGTTCTGGTCCCAGGTCTACCAATGCAGAACCCTGGCAACACAAACAGCTCTCTCTAGATGTCACATTCCTCATCCATAAAATGAGAGTTGGTTGGATCTCAAACATTTTTTCTTGACTAGACTCAATAAGCAACACATATACAGCCCCTCAGTATAGGAAAAAATCAACTTTGACATTTCTCAGAGGCAACTGGCACTGCAAACTCCCCTTCCTCCTCCACCTCCCAGGAGACAGACAGATTCCTGTTCCCCTTAGAGCCCACTATAGCTCCATCCCTTCATCGGTATGGAGGTTGCCAATGTCCTAGCAAGCTGTCAACACACATAACTGTGCCTAGACATTTTGTCTGGGCCCAGGCCACAATGAAATGGCGGTGTCAGGACTGGGGTTCATACTCTCCTGCCTCACTGAACATTCTGAGAACTGAGAGGCACCCCGCCCTGGGCATACCTGTGCTGGGATATAGAGAGAGCTGATATGGGAGGGAAGGAGGCATAGTACTCAATTACATGAAGTGGTTTCATCCTACCTTTTCTCTCTTGAGTAGTTTAAATTAAACTGCAATTGAACCCCAAACGACATACCCACGACTTACCAATATAAACATCTCCAGATATGGTATAAATGAAGCTTGTCCACCCTAGAAAGTTAAGCCAGCAACATTAAAATGTTAGTGTCCATAATGCCAAAAGGAACATACATAGTTTTTCTTTTCTTTTACATATATATTTAAAGATTTAAGTTCTGGGAGCTGTTTAAAATACATACTCGCACCCTCATATATGTTCTCTCTCTCACACACACACAGAAACACACCCCTAAACCTAAAGGACTTGGCCCCAAATGTTTAAGAACCATCCCAAAGTAGACAGCGTACAATTCGCTTGGCTGTGTATCTATTTGCCAAAAGTTGTGTTAACAAACAAACTGTGCCTTCCAATTCTAACATCATGCTATTAACTACAACATTCCAGTCTGGATAGGATATCCCTCTACGTGCCTTCAGTGGAAAAGGAGATCTAGAAAGGGACCCCAGGGCAGAGTTCAAGACTAGAAGGGCAGGGCCCATACTAGAGTCTGTGTAGGAGTCAACTTGATGACAGAGTAAACAAAGGCAGGCACAGAAGAGCAAGGAGGACAAAATATACCTCTAAGGACATGACTGTGATTGTGCATGGGCTGGAACACTGAATCAGGCACAAAAGAAAAGCTCTCACTGATACAATTTAACATAAATCGAGTCTTGTTAAGAAAGTCTTACAGATAGCAAAACAAACACACTTGGGTGGATGCCATCCTCCTATTTCAGTTTTTCCTCTCTGAGATTTTGCTAGAATGAGTTTAAGTCCTCTAAAAGCAATGCTATTTATTCATAGCTCACACATTCTTCTTCTCTCTTGTTCACCCACTTGCTTAGTCTTCCAAGCTTGGTCTACCACCATTTATCGAACATCTACCGTGAGCATGCATTGTGGGTGGAGATACAAAGATGAATAAGGCTGGGCTGTTCAAATTGTGCGCCTTTGGGAAGGGAGGTTCGTGGTAGATGCTGAAAACACATGCCAACAATTTACAGCCCGGTTCAAGTCTTGCATGGATTGGCTGGCTCTGGGGGAGCACTTCTTTCTCTGTTTTCTAATGAATGCTGAGTTTTCCTATTCCTATTTAGCCTGATTTGTAATCATACTCCACAACAAAACCCCTTTCTTCTCTGCTTTTTCAAATATTCTGCCTTTGAAAATTGTTTAAATTTCTTTTTTTTATTATTTCAGGAAATTATGGGGGTACAAACATTTTGGTTACATGTTAGGACTTTGCCACATCTCAACCATGATTTGAGATATGCCCTTTCCTCTACTACAACGCTCACTGCATCCATTAGTTGTGAGTTTACCCACCCCCAACACCCCAACCCCCAAAGAATATTACTACTGTGTGAGCACCTTAGTGTTGATCAGTCAGTGCCAGTTTGATGGCGAGTACATGTGGAGCCTATTTTTCCATTCTTGTGATACCCCACTTCAGAGGACGGGCTCAAGCTCTATCCAGGAAAATATAAGAGGTGCTAGATCACCGTCATTTTTTACAATTGAGTAGTACTCCACTGTATACATATACCATATTTTATTAATCCACTCACGGATTGATGGGCACTTGGGTTGTTTCCACATCCTTTCTTTTTCAAAGCACAAATAGCTTTATTTTTCTGATTGTAAAAAAGTAACACATCAATTTAAAAATATTTTAAAGTGTGAAGGTGTGGAACATCTAGACTGAAAATCTTTCTGCAAATGTCATACCTACCCTGACATAAACATTGCTAGAAATTTGGTATTTGTGCATTCAGGTTTTTTTTCTTTTATGCACTATACATTATTTCCTTAAAAACTAAAACAAATTCAGTGTTCTACTTTAGATACCCTTCTATGTCAAAACATAGAGAAGTAACTCATCCTTGGGAAAAACTGCATAGCATTCCATTGTAAGGGTGTGTCATAATTTATATAATTTATCCCTTCTTCATGGTTTAAAGGTATTAACAAATTGTTTCCACATTTGACAAAACCTTACATCTCTCGATTGCTCGACTAGGTTTTTATTTGGGATCATTTGATTGTTCTAATCTCATTTCTTCTCTACCTCCTTTGCTTCCTACTCACCGTCCAAGCAGAAATCTAGTCCACAGACAACTGTCTAGGTCTATTTTCTTTCCTTTTTTATCTTTTTACATGATCCCAAGGGACCAGGCATTTGCTTAAAGGAAAGGCCAAGTCAATCTATTAAGTGCATTCACGTATTTTTATGCCTTGTAAAAGTTTCCTATTAGGATACAGAGTCCACCGTTGCCAATAATACCACAATCCATCTTGCTGGTTGGAAAGCACAGTGTTCGAAAGAATGGAACAGAAACAGGGGCAATTTACTGTTCTTCTTTTTAGCATGATATCTATCTGCCCTTGCTTCGATTAAACCTTGTTTAATTTCCATTGAGCATTGTTTGTTAAGGCTATTTCAAAAGAAAACAAAAGTCGAACTGTGCGAATACTTACTATAAGTTTAACAACTGCCACAATTTATTAGAATTCCTTCTCTGCTAAGAGCAGGATTACATCAGCAAAGAGCTCTCATAGGTCCTTCTTATCTTTCTTTCTTCCTTCCCCCAGCTCTCCTCCCACTTTTATGTCCTACACCAGGAATTGATGCCATCCCCCAATTTTTATTGCTCGGTCAGAGGTCACAGCCCCTATAATTTCCTTTCTCCTACAAATAAGGTCTCCAAGCTACTGTCACTTTGCAGCTGGGAAGCTCTTCCCTTCCCTTAGGCAATGACAAATAAAATGAGTTGGGAGGTCACATTTTCATTCAGGTCCCTTAGGATGGTTAAGTCAGCAACACATTTAAGTCAAATCTCCTTTAGCCAAACAGAAAAAATGTAAAATTTTTCTTTTAAATATGTAAATCATTTTCTATGGCATCTGCTCTCATTTCCAAAGAGGCTCCTAATTCTTGCAAACGTCCCTAGTGAGAGCTTTTCTTGGCCTACATTCCTTGCCTTAACCCAGCTCATTTTCCTCCAGACTCAGTCTTAGAGTTCATTATTCCAATGAACTTACAACTATTAATATTCCCTATACATGTATGTGCAAAGAAAGTAGAAATACATGGCCTGGTGACATACCAAGTCCATAGCAGTTCTGAGGAAGGAAGGAAGGAGAGAAGGAGAGAGTTTGGGGCACCTTTCCCCAAACTCTGGGTCACGCTGATAGCCGGACCCCAAAGCAGCCTTGGTTCCTAAGGGCCTCCACCCCAACCCCCTGGAAGCCCCTGGAAGTTCAGCTTCAGCAGGCAACTCCCTCACCGTGGACCTCACGCCTGGCCTCCTGGGACAGGAGGCAGACCTGCCTGGTTCTCCCCTCCCCCTCCTCATTCCACCAAATTATTTTTTTAATTTTTACTTTAAAATAATTTCAGATATACAGAAAAGTTGCAAAAATACCACAGAGAATTCTCGTATACTATTCACCCAGATTTCCTAACATGCTACTACATATGCTTTATCGTTCTCCTTGCTATAAATATGTCGTTCTTTTTTTGGAAATATTTGAGAATAACCTGCAGACATGATGCCCCTTTACCTTGAAATAATTTTCAGTTTGTATTTCCTAAAAACAAGGATATTTCCCTACCAAACTGTAGTGTACTTATAAAAATTATGAAACTAACATCAACACAATACTGTTATCTATGTACAGATATTCGAATTATGTCAATTGTCTGAGTAATGCTTTTTATGGAAAAAGGACAAAGAAATTTCTAGGCCAGGATCCAATGTAGGATCACATGCTGCACTTAGTTGTCATATCTAACCTTCTTTCATCTGAAATACTTCTTCAGTCTTTCTTTCATTAAAAACACTGACCAGTTATTTTATAGAATGCTCCTCAGTTTGGGTTTGTTTGATGTTTCCTCATCATTGGACCAAAGTGTTTGCTAATTTTTTTTCCTCTCAGAGTCAGAGAAGAATTTTCATTTATTTTCAATGAGATAATCATGGGGATGTGGGGATTGCAGGTGTTAATATGGGGAAAATTCTTAGAGCAGTTTCTAGCAAACAGGAGGCATTTAATAAAAGTTAGCTGTGATGATCATTATTACTATAGGATGATTCAGTGAATTGAACTCCTGAAAATGTTTATGACATCCCATCACCGGTTTTTGCCATTTTTTCCCTCTTTCCAAAAACCATATTTTTAAAAAATGCAATTGTACCTCGCCACACATGAAAACTAGTTCCATCAAAGGATATAAAATTTTAGTTAGACAGTAGAAATAAATTCAAGAAATCTATTGTACAACATGGTGACTATAGTTAATAACAATGTATTATATTCTTGAAATATGCTAAGAGAGTGGATGTTAAGTGTTCTCATCACAAAAATGACAACTATGTGAGGTAATGCCTATGTTAATTAGCTAGATGTAGTCAATCCACAATATATATGTACTTCAAAACATATTGTGTACTATAAATACATAATTTTATCTGTCAATTGAAAAAAATAATAATAAGAGAAAAACAATTCCAGGTGGAATAAATATACCAATATGAAAGGCAAAACAACAAAGCACCTACAATAGAACATTTTTTATGATCTTGGGCTAGGGAAAGATTATTAAAGAAGCCACAGAAAGCACTAATCATTAAGGAACAAATTGATGCATGTAAGGAATTTTTATTAAAATGTAGACAAACATAATAGTATAAAAGAGTGAAAAACAAAGCAAAAGGGAGAAGATATTTCTTGTTTTTTTAATTAAAATTTTTATTTTAACATATTTTATTACATTTTTTTTCTTTTATTATTTTCTACTCACATGGTCTGGAATGGAAAGGGAGAAGATATTTGCAACACAAATAAATGACAATGACTAGTATGCAGAATATATAAAAAGCTCTTACAAATTAATATGAAAAAGACAACCCATCCAAAGGAAAATAATATAAAACTTCTTGCTGGCTAATTTTATATTTCGGGCTCTGGTTCAAATTAATCACTGCTCTGAAGACTTATTGATTTACATTCATAACTATTATATATATATATTCTAAGTATGAAGAGAACTGTGACTGAATATTCT